CCATGTGGCCACTTTTCTTGGGCCAGTTACATGGTGAATGGCATTGGTAAAGTGATCCCCCTGAGCAGAAGATGACAAAGAGTAGCAAACAGAAATTTGACTATTTAAGCAACATAAGCATGTGAAGGAGCAATGCAAGTATGAGCTCCCCTGTCCAGCTCCAGCTGTACACTAAGGTAAGCTGCATCTACATCAGCATTTTGGTTTGAATCAGGAGCATGCCTCCAAGGCGTACCTCCCAACACTCTCCACTTGCTACACTTTGGTTCACATACTGAAATGCTCTCAGGGAGTACAAACTAGAGTCCTTTCAAATGAAGTTAAACCAGAATATATATGCCCCAACTGTTCAGGGTCATTTGGTCCTTGGGACTGGAACTACTCTGAAGGAAAATCCTAGCACAGGCATCAGAGGCTCAGCACCAACTTTTTGTTTTATAGGTAGGCACTTACCAGGCCACAGTACTTGGCCAGAGCAGTCCAAGAGTCCCCTGAGTTCTGCTGTCAAGAGCTAACTGTCCAGCTTTTCCTAAAATCCAACTTCCTCTCAAACATGTACTTGAGAGAGAGAATGAAGTAGGGGCACGTAGGATGAAATATTTTTTCTTTTTTTCAGCACCAATAGAACTGCACATTAATGTCATTTGAAAGGGCAGAGACTCCTAAAAGAAGGCTGAGAGATCATGCAACAGAATGATAAAAGGGAAAAATATAAAATCTGTATTGGGTGGATGAACTAATGAATCCCGATAAGGATCCAGCTGTTTAGTGTTGTCCTATTTCTTATTTTTAAAATGCATTAATAAAATCCAGGCTACAGTTCTCTTGCTAAACCATGTACTTCTTTAAATGACAATGTCTTCCTGCCTTTTGCCTCTGTTCCATTAATCTTCTCCTTCAAAACATTACTCCAATTAGACTTTATTTTGGTGTCACTGATACTCTTGCTTTACAGCTTCTCTTCACCTAGTTTTGCTTCTTTTTCTGCTGCAGAAAATGTAGTCAGTTCATGGATGAACGAACAGGAATATGAGGCTTGTTTTGATGTAGACTACAAATCTGCCAACACACGAAGTATTTCTTTGCAAGCAAAGACAGTGGACAGAGAAAAAAATCTCCTGTCTAAGACTTAATGAAAACTTAGGGATTGACATATCCCAGTTCTGTGTCAAGATAGATTTGTTTTTAACTCTCTCGAGAATTGCTGACTCCATCCCAAACCTCCAGATTCCTAATTTAAATCCTTCTATCCCACTGTAAAGTTTTTCAAAGTTGGTGGGTTTTACTGTAATCTGAAACAAAAACATGTCAGATGCTTCCTCTTCCTGAACTAGCTTTCCTATCTTACCCACTCTTGGTCCAAAATGACTCCTACTTCATCACTAGACAGATTTATTTAGAAGGCTCTCAGAAAGAACACATAAGCGAGAAAATAACAGTGACCAAGCACAGCCTGTTATCTGGGATATACACCAAAGGGTGAAGGCATGTGAGAAAACAGAAGGGAGGTAGTCACAGAAAACTGTACTTTAGGACATAGAAATTCATACGTATGTTAGCAAAAGGTGTATACCCTGACTGAGAAACACATTGTGATGACCAACTTAATGAATCAAGCATCAAGGAATTTTTTATCAACAGAGCCTATGGCAAAAGCCCATCTCCTTATTGTGTACTTGAGGGAGAGGAGAAAGGGCAAAACTAATGCAAATAAATCATAAATGGCTCAGTGGTTTTTGCTGAACTAAACCACCACAGCTGAATTGCAGATAGCAGCCCCAGTGCTAATGCTGCTATATGCCATAACCATGTTCTCAGGAGCTTTTGTCTCTTACCTGTACCAGGCTACTGTTCAGAGTCTTACTGCCCAGTAAGAGAAACTCTGGCAGAGTTTGAATGGTACAAACAGTGAGAGATCATCCCTAATGACTAGGATTATTTCAGTCCCAAAGCTTAGTCAACCTTAGCTCCAAGTTAACTCCCTCCTTTACCATTTCTCTCTAACCCTCTTCCTCACGAGAAAAGCACCTCATGTTGCAGGTGACTGAGATGCAATTGGATGCTATAAAAACCAAAATGTCAGTGCCTGAATTCTAAGTTTGCGGCTTTTCCATTTTCCTTCCACATCCTTGTCTTTTATTTGAAGTTGCAAAAATACAGCTTTGGAGTCTTTCAGTCCCATTGGGCTAGTTTCATTTAATTTCAATTTAACTGAAGACTGTGTTTTAAGGAAAGCCAATATTCTCTCTCTTTGCTCATTTAATGAATATCCCACTTTTATTTGTACTTTCCATTGAGCAAGTAATTATGAGTCTAATGTATAATCCTTCTACAGGTAATAAAACTCAGGAGCATGGAAATGCCATTCAGAACGCAGCCCTGCTGTCTGAAGATTGTGCCACATGCGATGACGAGGAAGATACTTTAGCTAGTTTATAAAATTTGCAAAAATTAGGCTGTAGCACTGTGCAGAAAATCAAGTACACATGAAATTGTTCACATTACAGAGAACACAGTGTGCCCAAACATGCATGTGCTACAAATACAATGTTTCTTAAACACTACAAATAACTGTGTTTCCAGAATTGAAGGGATCCTATGTGTAAAATACAGGATTCCTTAGCTATTATTACACGAGTTTGATACGAACTGTAGTTTTGGCAGTCTCCAGCTAAAACATGCTGGATTAGCCTGGGTCAACCCAACCACAAAGCTTTTTACACAGTTGAAACTCTGCTGAATGCCAGTTTGGTCTTGCACTCAGTATGAGAAACTAGTACAAGCGTGGTCTGTGAAAGACAACAAATTATTCATTTCAAAAGCTCCTGTTTGGTCTTCTTTTAAACCATTAATTGCCCAGAAAAGGGAACTAATAAGTATTGGTTTCCTCTAATTCTTGGCTTATTGAAGCTTTTCCTGAACCTGAGGCATCCATAATGCCTCTTTATTATATGGATATTCTGGTATTTAACATGAATTGAGATCAAGCCACAGTCCTTTCCTCTGGGACGGCTGGAACACTGCCCTCCTCCCTTGTTTTTTTTCCCTAGCCATGTAGGATCTTTATTTTTTTCAACTTTTTAAAATTTGTTTAAAAAATTGGTTTGAAAGACACTGGAAAAAATAAGGGAGACACACATACACATACACACACAAAGTATGACCCCACAAGCCTTATTTTCACAGGGACAGGCTGAAAACTTCATGATCTATAAACAGCCAGAAATTGAAATACATGCACAGAAAGGAAAAGGTGTCTGGAATATAAAGGTGTCCTTTTCCCTTGGGGTACAACTCAATATACTCAATACCAGCCCAGAACATAAGATTAATGCTGATTCTATAAAACCATACATCTTCTAATGAAAACACAGGAATATCTTTAGCCAAGACAGAAGCAGAGGGTACTGAGGTAGTCTCCGAGTGTGATTTATTTTCCCTTTTAAAAAACAAAAACTCTCTAAAGCAACGAGCTGAATATTTTGTTTCTTTACACCAGGGACTTACTACAGCAAGTAATAGAAGAAGAAAATTTATTCATGGGGTTTTTACTGACTGTAATTGGCTGCCAACTGGATCAGAGGTATTTTACCACAAAATAATTGATGAAAGGAGCAGAGGAAAGATACCCAGATTGGGCCTCTCCTAGCCACACTTCCCTCTCTAACCAATGGATAACAGAGCTAGAATCTAACTCAGCATGTCTGTCATGGCGTTCTTTGAAAACAATTATTTCACAGAAATAAGGACAATTATTAAAATGTACTCTTTTGCATGTACATCACCAAAACACTGACAAAGTGTCATGTTGAATATATGGTAGAGAGCACCACAGGATAGATCACTAGCATTAAAAACTTTCTTGTGCACTTTCAGAGTGAGTGGAAGAGATGAAATTATCCCCTTGGAGTAATTTATTAGTGTAACATTGTATAAACAATTAAGACATTTCTCATAATTTGAGGTTAAGTGGCTTACAGGAAACTCCTACACAACTAGCAAATTGCCTCATGTTTATCACGGAATTCTTCCTTCTGTCCCGGGTCAGCTATGTACAACCTAGAAAGGAAGAACTGGAAGCTGCTTAGACTTATTACTGGAAACCAACAAGAAGACCATGGCTTGATCTTAGACAACAACATGGGGATAAGAAGAATGTGGTTAACATTGGAATTCTTTGCTTGTGCTCCTCCTGCCTTTTGTAACCATCCACATTATCAAGCCTCAGCTATCTTACACACTGTCAGCACCACATAAAGCCATCTGTTTTTCACTTGGAGGGAGTTTGTCCTTTTAGCATGGTGACATATAGTATCAAGAGGTGGGATAGAACATGGGACAGTCACTCAAGAGCGAGTTGTTTGCTGTTCCTGGTGGATTTAGGGTGATGATTTCCGAAGAGATACTGAATAGTTCCACTACATTTTGACCTAAAGTCAACAAACAGTTGACAGTTTTGGCTAGAATGTGTGTTAACCTTTACATCTGCAAACCTAAAAGAAAGAGTGAAAGTCAGATGATGAAAAATTATGAGGCATGCGTAAAGTCTGTTCAAATACTTGCAACTTAATTTTCCACATTCCTTGCAATTCAACTCTACATCTATATAGACAGTATCTTGGGTGGGGCTAGAGTTACCTCTCCTTTTCATAAGGTCTCTTCAAAACTTTCCTCCCTTAAATAGTTAGAAAATATCACAAGTAGCAAAACCAAGTTTGTTGTTGAATCAGTTTGTAACTCTCTGCAGAACCAGGATTCACGTAGAGACCTCTGAAATAGCAGCATCTATGTGCATCATACCATAGAGTTGGCATGCTTATTCTTCCAGTGTAAAGGACTATTACTTTGTGTTCCAACAGACAGAATATGCACCACCAGGCTGGTCAATTTATTGTTGAGATGAAGCAATAAAGATTTATATAGCAACCAGTTGTTATTAAACATTAGTTTGTAGGTATAGATACACTGAAAGAGAAAACAAAAGGAAAAAAAGTATGTACCTGTTGGGTAGTGTTCATTCACTGGCCAGCTGTCAACCTGAAGTGTGGCGTTGCCACCGTTCCTGGTAAAGCGTACCACGTGGTATTTGCCATCATTTACAGGTGTGCTTTCCTCTTTAATAGAGATGTCCACTGTGCCAATATTGAAGACTACACCAATCTTGCCTTGCTCCTAAAATAAAAGAAAAAAATGCTTGTAAATTGCTGCCTATTAGGAGAATGTTCTTGGCCTATAAATCTCAAACGGGTAACTGTGCCAGTAGATGGCACTGAAGAATACACTGAAGCACTGTTTTGAGCCTTGTCAGGACATATTTCATTGGCTCTACTTCAATACAAACATTGCCTTTCGCACTCTTCTTTACAGCATTCACCTGAACATAGCGACTCATTTGTTCCCTTATAACAGCACAGAAGACAGGTGAGAAATCAGGCAACGAAAACCAGGAGATGTGGATAAATAGTTACTGGAGCAACATCTCTACTGATTATTAGTAGTCACTTATTCAGTTGTCATGTGAAATGCAGCCACAGGCAGGCTGTATCCCAACAGCTGTTTTGTTCTGTTATTCTGCTTGGGAAACAAACAGTCCCCACCCCAAAGCAAACAACTGTGGGATCCAGCAAGGAGAATGCAGTTACAAGATGGATGGAAAAAATGTAATTAGCTGACTTTGACCGCCTGAGGGAAGCTAATTGCTCTTAAACCAAACGGAAAACCTTCCAGACTTTCAAAAGACAGGAGTAGCCACAGTCTATTACTTTTCTACATCACACCCCAAGCAATGCCTTACCAATAAAGCAGTGCTCCATAGTGTTTTCCCAAAACTTTCCACCAGTCACTGACTGAAAGGGAAGAGCAGGCAAAGCCAGTCGTACCAACCATAACGCTTGCCCCTGCAGCTCCCCTCATGTAGTTCCAAGTAACGACCATATTCAATGACTTTAAGTTGTAAAATATGCACCCAGAGTATATTCGGATATCCACATTTAATACTACTGATTTAAACAGTGCCAGAAGTTCCCATTACTGTACAATATACAATTAACAGGAATGCATCTTCAAGCCCTCAACAAGGAGAGGCATAGTATGCTGGTGTGAATGTTTATGAAGGTATATTAGATGTACTTCATGGATTCAAATCTGGTGCAGAGAGGCAGAACTAAAATGTATCATATAGAAAGCCAATACATTCGCTAGCCATCCATACTATAAAATTGGCAATAGCTTTGTTAACTGTCTCAATAGAAAAATCAAGGAAGAAACAACAGAGAGTAGAAGGCTGTCTCGTATAAAAACAGAGCCTCTTTGAAACAGCACTGAGGTATACTAAAGGGGCAAGAGACAATTTTGTTACTGTTATTACCTTACAAACCTACCTGGTGGGCAGAGGACTTCAGGGCTGTTACCCTGACTGACTTCACTACATTCTCATTAGTAAATCTCAGAAATAAGAAAGAAACCTCTCCTCTTGTACTTGAGGGCCACCTCAGATTCCTCTCCTGGATTTACTCCTGTCTCCTGGTATCAACAGACCTTTTCCTTAAAATCCCCCATGTCTTCCAATTTCTCACAGAGGCCTTTCCCGATTCCTGCTTTACCTTACATGTCAAGGTTTACTCATACCAAAATACTCATCACAAGTTCCTTATATCTTCAATACTTGTCTCTTTTTTGACTTTTTTTTTCCTAAGACCATTCCCCTTAATGCTCAGACTACAACACTGCTATTAGGAAAGGAAAACAAACAATCCTGTTGGTGAAGAGGTCATTAAAAAGATTGGACTGTGCTTTGACTACTTGAAGTTTAGCACTGTAACAGTAAGCACCCTGTTTTTTCTGTCGTTATAATGGTAAATTTTAGACTCTGCTAAATGTATGCTGGATAGCAACAGTCTCATACATTCACACTGCTATGCTTTGGATGGACTTCCCTTCAAGATATCAATAATCTTTTTTCATTAGAACATGGGATAAGTGGATTGCAGCTCCCAGCAGTTGCATGAACTCAGATACCATTTGAAAACAATCAACCTTTCTTCTCTTATGCTACCCAAAAAATAAGGGAGTTTTCAGTGAACAGAGATTTATTTCAGGTAAAACCATTGCTGGTGCAGCTTTACCACTTCTTTGACATATGAAGTAAGTGAACTCCCAACGCTGTTTTAGTGAATCTTTTGCTGGCAACCATATAATTATCTTTATCTCCATAGCAATTAGCAAAGAACAAGATTAATTTTTGCTCAAAGAGTCAAAGAATGTCTGCTGACCAAGTAACCTGGCTACTGACTCCATGTGGTTTTGCAAGGTGCTGCCTTATAATCAACCTCCTGGACAACCTCTCATACAGCTTTTCAATCGCCATCAATACATCAATCTTCTTTTGCACACTGCAGCCACTCTGAGAAGAGTCCACCTTGGTGAAGGCATAACGTAAGCAGGTAAGATGGAAGAGCTATGCCTTGTCTAATGGAAAAGATCTCCACCAACACAGAAGAGGAAGGGATTAAGAGGTATTCAACACAGTAAAAACTGCGTACCTTCAAGCCCTGCAGGCCTAATGAGGCAGAGATAAAAACTTACAAGTGGGGAAGGGGATGGTGGGAAGTTTAGCTAATCTCCCCTGCAGAAGGAGAAAATGTTTCTGATCTCTCTTTTCAGGAAAAGGAGATAGCCCCTTTCGCCATTCCCTTTCCCCAGGCTTGAAGGAAAAACCCTATTTAAAGGGCTAGTGATAACCCATGGATAAGAGGGCAAACTGGAAAAAGTTAAGACTCTGGAAGCGGAGGACTGCAAACCACCAGTGGCCTTCAGTCTGCTGGAGAGAGGAGGGAAATGAGCAAACTGATGCCTTCCCCATACCAAGCAGATTGCCAGCCCCTCCCAGAGCCAAGAGAACACAGCTGTTCTAAAAGGAATATAACACTGTTGCAACTGAGAAAGGCAAAAATTTGTCCAAAAAAAAAAATAATCATGGGCCTGACTGAAGGCCTGCTCCAGCTCTCTTCAGTCTCACCTTAGGCAGAGTTCCTTGTGACTCTTTAACATGAGTTCTGCAGAAGCACAACTTTATGCCAGATTTTGATACTCTTATTTGGACTGAGTAGGAGCTTGTCATGAAAATGGTTCTGTTCCAATTACCAGGATAAAACACAATATAACAATACGCCAAAAGCAAGGCTATTGAAGACAAACTGCACACACAGACTTCAAGATGTAGTTTATTCATGATATTTTATACCTCCAGGGCACCAGACACTACGAAAAAAGCAACAATTAGTTTATGCTTTCCTGGCAGAAAAAAAAAAGTAAAGCAAAACCCAAAGAAAATCCTACAGCAAAGAACAGGGACCACGGACACAAGGGGCAAATCCGGAATTTATTTTCAAGATCTCTTCAATTTCAGTTTCCTACACTACAACACCTCATTAAAAGCAGCTTTTACCAAGACCTACTTTCCTTCTAAATCTGAAAGACAAGCTTTACTGTTAAACTTTAACACTTCACGATGGACGTGACCTTTCATTCCTTTCCCCATACATTCAGCTAGTAGATTTTCCTTCCACATTACCAAACACAGGTATTAACTAGACCAGTAAGTATGTGACAAAGAAAGATTTACCTTTGAGTCACTATCTCTAATGTTTATTTTGTACTTAAAGAAAAAAAATCCTAACCATACAGCAATGGGAAAACTGAATACAGAGCCACACAGAGTATGCACGTTACATACTCCAAAAGGGCTCAAGAGAATTTTAACAGACAGTGTGCATTTTTTCTTCTCTGCATTGGTATTCACTGGGCTGCCCCAAACACTTTCCATGAAAAGGTGACCAATAATTAATGTTTTTGAAACCTCCAAGTGACATCAAGTGCTGGCACTGTATCTTGGAAAAATGAGAACCATTTTATTTATAAATAATGAAGTGAACTCAGCATTCAATCTGTATTTTACTTCTCCCCTTCTTTATTTAAGGCTACTGTGCCAAAAAGGATTTTTAAAGTTCCTCAAGAATTTATCTTTTGCTGATTTGTCCCATAAAATCACTGCCCTCAAAAGCCACATTACCGTTTCCTCACTTACTTATCTCCTTCTGGAGATAAACTTCTGCCATGATGTCTCTAGGACTTCAGGCAAATAATTATGATCACATAATGGAATGGTTGTAGATAAATTATAAGAACAAAAAAAAGCAAAGTACTAAAAAGAATGTACAAGGCCTCACCTTGACCTCTCTGTTCTACACTATGTCCTTCCAAAGGCTCCTGGCAAAGATTTCTTGTTATATGCACTGTTCCCAAAACATTTTGAACATTATTAAATGATATAGGGGCTAATCTACAGTCTGGATCAGGAGATCTGCAATCTATTGCTTGCCCTTAAGCATTACTTCACTTTGGGCAACTTTTTCTTTTACCTTTCTGTGAAACAGATTTTTCATCTGTGACAGAAAGGTGATAGCCACCTATCTTTCCAAGCTCTACAAGCCCTGTAAATCCAGATATATTTTACTTAAACATTGATGATATCTTGACAATCCCAACCCTTTCAGCCCTGAGAACAACTACAGTCCAAGAGAAGCAGGTCCTAAGGTTTTCTCACCTTCTACTTTCACCTCCTCCAAAACCCATTCCTTTCCTCTAAAGGGACCTCGGGAACATTTCTGAGGTCTGACATTTTTGCAGGTATGTTTTTTCTTTTGTTTCCCTCCACCCATGCAGAACTAGAGCCTGTCTGCATGCAGATTGTCAGGCCTTTGTTTCCTCTGTGCTGTGCCTTTACATTTTGAAGGCATCTGTCTTTCTGTAGCAGACCAGGTGCAAAGAAAGTCAAATGGGGGTGGCAGTGATTTTCTAAGATGAGCAGTTAGAGTGTGTTAGAGAGGACACATACGCGAACAGACACGTGCACTGTGTGCTCTGAAAAGGGCTTTACCTTTGGGCCTTCTTTTTCTTAATCTAAAATTCAAATCATCCAGACTGAAAGTATATGGTTGTTCCTTGTGTGCAGAAAGCCATTTCATCTCAAAACCCAAAAAGGAGAACCCCAGGCAACAGGACAAATCCTACTCTTAGCTGCATCAATATGAATCGATAGCTATTCTGTTGAAGAAACTTGATTCCTACTGATGCAAGTGGAAGCAGAGTTTATCCCAGTATCTTCATGTTGT